AGTCTTTCCGTGTGTAATGAGTAGAACACCAGTGTCTTGTCAATTAAAGTCAATTAAAAGTACCTGCTTAATTCCAGCTGGCTGTAGGAGCTCAGCATCTATGAAGGATCTCCACTTAGCTCTAGAACGACTAGCACTGGCCAGTGACCTTCGGGGAGCCACTCGGGACAGGGATAATGTGATGCCCCTTTCTTAACAGATGTGTTAGGAGTATATAATGTCGGCAAGCAGTGATCACCAAGGGGGCAGTTAGCTTGTACCTGTAAGCTGGATGTGACTCACTTGCAACGTTTGGTGGGTGGGAGGGAGAAAGGAGCTGTTCTTTGTAGACTAAAGTGTGTTAGTAGGGTCTGTGACTTATTTGTTTAGGGAGTTTCCTCTTGGAAAAAGAATAAATGTTGTAAGTGTTACAGCGGCTCAGTCCGAAGATTCAGTTGCATATGAGAGGCTTATTTTTCCTCTTGGTCATAGTTGTTCAGAGCTTCTTTTTTCTTTTTAGTTTAAACTCATATCCCAGGCATATGAAGTTCTGTCGGACCCAAAGAAAAGGGACCTCTATGACCAGGGTGGGGAGCAGGCTATTAAAGAAGGAGGCCTGAGTGGCGGCAGCTTCTCTTCACCCATGGACATCTTTGACATGTTCTTTGGTGGTGGAGGCCGAATGAATAGAGAGAGAAGAGGTACACAGTTCTAAACAAGTTCTAGAAACTCTAACCATGCACTTAAGCATAAAACACCCGTGCTGTAGTACTGCTGTTCTGCTAAGTGCACATAGTATGGGTTTTACTAGTTAAAACAATAGATGAAGTAAACTATAATACTAGTTATTCTAGTAGCAAAATTAAGTAGATAACATGATGTAGCTATTAGCAATCTTTCTGATGAGTTGTGCTTTTTTTTTTTGTTAAAATGGGTGTGGGTAATCTTTAGGGGTGGGGGAAATGGTGGTTGAGATGGCTAGCAGATGGGTTTTAAGTTATCTTTCAAAATCTGTGCCTCACTTGCTCATGTGCTTTGGGCAACTTGCTTCAAAGGACACCATCAACTTAAGCTGAAGTTGTTCTAAATCTAAATGGAAAAGATTTGTGAGAAATTGTGATGCTGAGCATATAATGCTGCCAAAAGCACAATCACTTCTTTTCATTTCCAGTGTCTGCTGGAAGAGCGAGTAGTAACTTGCTATAAAGATTTTGAAACTATGCTATGAAGTGGCATGGAAATACGTAGGTAGGCCTAATAGCCATTTCTAAATTGAGTAGATCTGAAGCTGGTAGTGTCCTTGCATCTTTTTCCTTTCAGTTAAGCTTATAAAATCGGGGCAAGAGTAGGGATAGAGTGGTGTTAATGATGCTTTGCTTAACTACAGCTAAACTTTATGTTCTGACTTAAGTGGGCGCTGCTCAGTGGAAGCTGATAGCACCTGCTTTAAAGGGGCTGAGCTCTGTTCTGAGTCTGGAATTAACTTTGTTTCTTCAGTGAGACTGCATGTACGAACAAGTATAGAAGCCTTTAAATAAGTATTAGTCCTCTGAGTTGTTGAACCAGAATTAATCTGTTTTTTTTCCTCTTTCTCTAAGGCAAGAATGTTGTGCACCAGCTAGGTGTATCTCTTGAAGACTTATATAATGGTGCTACAAGGAAACTGGCACTGCAAAAAAATGTTATTTGTGGGAAATGTGAAGGTAAAATAAGTAGTGGTTTCTAACACCTTTTATTCCATGATTCTTTTAAAGATTGTTGTGGAAGACTAGCAACAAACTGGATTTTCTGTTTTTCTTGAATATTTATCAGTGTACTTGCTTCTTTGCATTGCTTTATGCCAGTGCTTAGCCAGGAGTAAGGCTGTCTTCCTAAACACAGGGGTGTTAAGCTATTGATCTAATGGTGGACTTGATTATAATTTTCAGGGAGTTTACGGGCACCTTAATTAAATACCTTAATTAGAAGCTTTAATAACTAGCTGGGTTTTTTTTCCTTGAATCAGTGTGGGTAGAAGGCTAGCTTCAGTTATGCAACTCATTTTACAGCTCTTAAGTATCATAATGTCTGGTCTTGAGGTTAATCTCAATGCGGTCTGGTGTTGTAGTACTTAATTAAATATTTTGTAAGCAAGTTCTTTCCAGGGTGTTTATGGAATATTTAACTCTGGAATGTTATATGTTGATAATTGAAAACAAAGATGTATTGAGGGATAGAGGGGAAAAGACTAGTAAAATAAGCTGTGCATAGGTAACTTGACTACTTCATGTAGAAATGTTTAATTTGTGAGGCATGTTTGTCATAGAAACTATATTGTAATTACACTGGAAATATGTTGCAGAAGGATTATCAGTTACTGTAAAGGTTCTCCTGAAGTTAGTGAGTTTTAGCTTGACTACTGTAGACTAATTCTGGTCTTTGAAATATCTTTAACTTTTTTGCCATAGGTTATGGAGGAAAGAGAGGTGCGGTAGAAAAGTGCCCTGTATGTAAAGGAAGAGGAATGCAAGTTCTTGTTCAGCAGATAGGACCTGGCATGGTACAACAAATCCAAACTGTGTGTCCAGAATGCAAAGGCCAAGGTGAAAGAATAAATCCAAAGGACAGGTGTGACAACTGCAATGGCTGTAAGGTTGTAAGAGAGAAAAAGATTATAGAAGTTCACGTTGATAAAGGTGAGAACTGAGTATTTGTTGTGTATTCCCTACTCCCAGTCTGATAGCTCTGCAGAGAATAAAGTGCTTTCTCTTCCTGTAGGTATGAAAGATGGTCAAAAGATAGTGTTTCATGGAGAAGGTGACCAGGAGCCTGATCTGGAGCCTGGTGATGTCATAATTGTGCTTGATCAAAAGGATCACGGTGTTTTTCAGAGACGAGGCCATGACTTAGTTACAAAAATGAGAATTCAACTCTCAGAGGCTTTATGTGGTTTCAAAAAGACTATTGAAACTCTAGATAACAGAGTCCTTGTCATATCATCTAGACCAGGTAGGTCTTCAGAATTGATGACGTACAAAATGCTTGTTTGATTATTCTGTCTGTTCTTAATCACTGCTGCAACAAACTATAATTATGGTTGCAGTCATTTAATTCAGGATTGGAAAGAGTGACAACTAAATATTGCATGTGGAATTACAGCTAAAGATGTCAAATGCTGCTTATGAAATCTCTACTTCAATTATGGGATTTAAGTTTATAAACTGTATTAGATCATCTGCTTCTCTTAGCACAGCCACCAGGCTGAATTAGCTGACTTTATTTTTTTACTGTAGATGAAATACTCTTAAGGAGCTTATTTCAGTGTTCCTTTTATTCAGTTTGGTTTTAGTACTCTTCAATCCACAATTTTCACTTTTCTTTAGAAAACTAAAAATTGCTTTTGATAGCTGAACTTCTGTCACGTTAAACAACTCCCAACTTTTGTGTAGGTGAAGTGATAAAACATGGTGACCTGAAGTGTATCTACAATGAAGGGATGCCTATCTACAAATCTCCAATGGACAGAGGCAGCTTAATTATACAGTTTTTGGTAAGTGACTGCTTGCTTACTGCAGCAAATGAATTATTAGCATCAGAAATAACTTAGTTTTAAATAAATTGTAGGTCCAGTTTCCAGAGCAGCACTGGCTTCCAAGGGAGAAACTGAACATGCTGGAGGCTCTACTTCCTCCAAGAGAAGATGTTATGATTACAGATGAGATGGATCAAGTAGACCTTGAAGATTTTGATCCAAGTGAGCAAACCTACCGTAACAGTGGAGGAGAAGCATATGAAGAAGATGAGGATGGTCCAAGAACAGGTGTACAGTGTCAGACATCTTAAATTGAGGTGGAGTTGATATTGCCTAAAATGTAAATTTTCACAATGAAAACTGCATGGCTGTAATAGCCACTGCTTGTGGTCTTTGTGTTCAGCAAATTGAGTTGCTGCGCTGTCAGTATCACTTTTTTTTGTAACTAATTTATATTGTGTTCTTGTCTTTATATATAAAGCAAATGTCACACAGCTGAGAACCAACTGAGTTGGTATATGTTTCCTTGTGCTTTGAAGGTTCTCAATTTATTTCACTGATGCTATTTATATAAGACTCTCACAATACTGGTATAAGTTGAGTAGTGTCTTAAGTAAATATTTTCATACTGAAAAATTAATTTCATAGAATAAAACATAGCAGAAGTTACTTCTAATAAATAGAACTTCACCTTTTGTTTTTTCTTGTACTTCTTGAGCCAATCTAGAATCTCTAAATAAATTCAAGTCCCCGCTCTCCTTTGTATACTTAACTTTGCATGTTGCAACCCTGTTAGCTGTATTCCTCATGTATATCAAATGTTATTTCTGCATAATAATCTTTTTCCTCTTCTCTACAATAGGCTAGTATTCTTTTAATGCTTAGCTTTATGTAAGTGTAAGAACTTACAGATCGTACAACCTTAATCTGTATAGTGTCTATGTGCTGCAGAATGACATGCACTATAACACTTCCAAATAAAACTAGAACTTAGGTTTTTGAGAGATCATACCTCAGCCTTTTCTAGAAAGTGTTGTTTTCTCTTGGGCAGTAGGTACTTTAGCTTTAAGATGAATATTATTACAAAACTACCTGCCTTGGCTATGCTGTTCCCTTTTCTAATACATGAAATAGCATAGTAAAACGATGACTTATCCCTCTGAGCTGTTTTTCTTGCAGCAGAATCACTGGAGTCAGAGTTGAAAAGCAATGTACTGCCCCTTACTGAGATTAAACTGTGATCAGGCACCTGTCACCATACAATTATTGGAACAGCTGTTCAACTTAGATGACCCTCTCTCACTTTCAGGAGCAACATGAAGATGAGCAAAGCCTATCCTAATGTCTGTCACTTTCCCTTCTCCTAAAATAAGTTTGACCAGCTTGAACAACAATTTCTAGCTCTCATCTATTTCTGTGAAGGCAGGGAACAAATACCAGTGGCAGATTAACTGAGCAGTTACTCTAGGTGACTATATCCTTCTAAAAACGTTTCTCCAAAAATCACAAATTAATTGCAGTGGTAGCTTTTATTTTTAAAAAAGTAAAGCTTTTTCCCATGCTAAACAGAATTGAAATTACAAATGATATCTCATTTCTTCAGCATTACTAAAATGCTTTTTTAATAAAAAAGTAATAATACATGAACTGCAGTATTTCTAAGAAATGCCGCAGCAGAAAACCAAAGCATTTAACTCAAGACATTTAAACAGGACAGTCATAAATATGGATTTCTTGGTCGTCTCCAACAGATACAATTTTAGACCCACTTCCATTATATTTCACGCCCCAAACCTGCAAATAGGACATAAGGAAAGTTATCAGGGAAGACAGTAAGGCAAAAGTGTATTCGTCTTTGCAGCAAGTTCTATATACTGACTAGAAGAAACAAAAGAGGATCTTTTAAGAAAACCCCCTTGGTGCTGATTTGGTTATACCTCTTGCTTTTAATAGCAGTGTGCCCTCTAGTTGTCTGGGAAGATCTTACTTTCCTACTGACCACAGATCATGCATTCTCTATATATCTGAAAACTACCATTGTGTATTTGCCCCAGTTTGAAAATGTTAGGCTTGATTTATGTGTTCTTAGATTGTTCTCTTGAGGAGTCTAAAATAACAGTACAGGCATTTAAGGATAAAGTATCAAGTATCAAGGATGCTTATCAAGCTTTTATGATAATTCCCCCTTATACATCTGTGCTGTTGGAAGTAATAAGACCACAGACAAAGATAAAACAATAGAGATTGATAAGAATATCTTCAGCCATCTGGGACTGTCCTCATTTGAACCTCTAAAAATGAGTTGTGGAAGGCATCTATCTATACCCTTGAAATATTAGTTTGATATTAAGTATCTAAAAATTACTAAGGATTTGAGGATTTCATTATAGCACGATGAAGACAAATCCCAAAGCTATAGTTCTCTATAGTTCTAATTTTAAACACAAATGCAGATAACTGCACACCTTAAGTATTCCTGTTAAGATAGAGACTTAATGCAACGGTAGACAGAACGGTTTTAAGTTGCTAATGTACCTGGTCTTGGTGGTCAAAGAAAGTATGAACACAGGTTCTTGTTCCAGCATCCCAAACTTTTACGCTTTTATCAGATGAACTGAAAAAGTAATATTGATCAACACCTAAATTAATAGATTAACTGTAGTTCAGTAACAAAGATACATGTCTTCCAGCAGGTTCCAGTGACCTATAAAATACATTCACTGGTCCTTTATATGCAACATAAAAATAAGGGTTCCCATTTTAGCCAGAAAATTCTTCCAAGATCCTTGATGCAAAGATAAAGAAGTGCATGTTATGTAAACCTGGGTCACCTTGTCGGAGCTGTTTGAAGAGTTGTTAATCTACTAGATCAACGTGTAATATTACATTACATTGTAATTATTTTTTTTTTTAATAACAACTTCTCAAGCTCTCTAGAATTAAATTGCCCATTTAGAGGTTAAGATGTTTTTTACTTGGAGGGAACTACACTGCACTGGGATGACTTAGCCTGTTCACAATTGCTATTAGGTTGCAGATTATTTCTTGAGCCTTTTATTGGAATGTTTGAATGCAGCTACTTCGTGATCAATCTCTCTTTATAAATATAAAACTCTTTTTAAAATAAGCATAAAGGATTTTAAACTTGTTACTACCTGGAAACAAAGTGGGTATCATCAGGACAAAATGCTACATTTAATACCCAGGATCCATGACCGCTCAGTGTGCCAGCCAAGTTGGCATGCTGTCTGTAGGAAGAACAAATTTAGAAAACACAGAATTATAACATCAATATTTGCCTTCTAAATGCCAGGGAATCAGCAGTCAGATCATACTGTAGTTACTGTACTCCTAACAGTTCAACAGAAAGATGACAGAAGGCGACTTCTGGACATTTTTTCATCCAAGCAGAATGGTGTTGAAATAATTTTTTTTTTCCCATTTCAAGAGTTAAAAAGGGGCCACTATAAAGATGCATAGATGGAAGAAACAGTTGGACCTGAAAAACTTCTATGAAGAAGGCATAGTAATGCATGTGTAAGGAAGTGAAGATCACTGAGGTGGTTCCTTTTCTCCCCAACATCTTCCAGGTTTTGGCATAGTGCAAGAGAAAAAGGTCATAAACAATATCATTTCTTGGGTACAGATGTTTAAGATAATACACAGGACAGACACAAAACAACCTGTTCCCTACAGGACTAAATATGAGAAAAGTCATTTGTTTGCAAGCTAATGCCGCCATTCACCTATGTGCTTTTTAAAAACTAGAGAATTTGTGTTTTAGTACTTAAGGTTATTTACTAGATAAAGCAATCTCCAAAAGCTCAACAGGATTACAGAGATTGGAGAGTTTGCTGTATTTATTACAGCATTGGCCTTTTAAAGTAGCATGTGTTGCAAAATGACAACTCACACATCGTAGATTTTGATGTAGCCGTCATCTGAAGCAGTTACAAGTAATTGAGAGTCTGGAGAAAATGTCAGTGAACGAATAGGCATCGCATGACCTGAAATTGAAGTATTCATGGCTTACAACATAGCTCTTCACTTACTAATGGCAGCAACAGTAATGAGTTACGCCAGAACAGCACTTCTAAAAGAAAGCAACCTCTCTGCTTTTGTTTTCTTCTTCATACAACATACAGTGGAAACTGTTGGTAGTTCAGAGCTTTGAATGCTGAAGTATGTCTACTCCAACACAAAAGTACCCCCCTGTTTTCACAGCTGTGAATCTTAATCTGATCTCACACTGCTTTCTAATAGGATGAGCATCATACTTTCTAAAATGATTTCATCATGTTTGAAGTTGTTGGGTTCTTTATTATATACTGGACACAAACTGCATGAACATTAAAAGCACATTTATCTTAAAAATGTGCATTTTTACAACATAGTTGTTTTCTCTGACACCATAATGAGAAGAAAAATCACATGCACAGTAGCACAATTTGCCTCATTTATGCAATACACAACTGTGCAACACAAGAAGCAACTGCAGTTCTAAAAACTGGGTTAAGCATTACTGATACTTACATTTTAAGATAAGCATTTATACTGCAAGCCTGAGTTCATATTATGTGTTAGAGTACAATAAATAGATAAGATCTAATGGAAAAGAAACACTATTTATGCCATGGCTGTTCTATCTGATAATGACTTGTTAAACCCTTCAGTTTTCTTGAGTGAAACAATAACTTAGATCATGCAAATCATTACCTTCTAGCGTGTGCAAAAGTTTTCCAGTTGCAATATCAAAAATATTGATAATGCCATCTATTGCTCCGCTGGCTAAATATTTTCCATCTGGGCTCTATAAGACAAGACAAGAAGTATGCATTTAACAACTGTAAGATTTCCTGCTGTGTACCTCCCCAGTGCTCTTGGCACGTTGTCACAAAGTATGGCTTACAATGTTACATAGAAATTAGCTGAAGGAAGAAGAAAATCTGATTGACAACATATTACAACATACTTCACATAAGAAATTACAAATTGTGCTTCTTACATATGCAATGCTAAGGATGAACTTTCCTCTTGTGTCCAGAGAATATTCTTTTTTTCCAGTTTCAACACCGAAAATATTTACTTTTCCCACATGACTTCCTGTTGCAAGGAACTGGGAATCAGGTGAAAAAGCCAGGGACCAAGCATCAACTGTATTAAAAAAAAAACAAAAAACCCAACAGCAAAACATTCAGTTATCTGAGTACTTTTGCTGGCCCTTATCCAATGCTGTCAGTACTGGATGCATGTTTGTACTATTCTTAATACTCCAAACTCCACTGAGTAACAGTGGACCAGTTCATTAATGTTAACTTCCTTCTACATAATTAATGCAGTACAGCACAAAACGTTTATTTCAGTTTAGTGAAAAATGCTATTTTCTTCCAGGATCTTGGCTTTAGTAGCTCCTCCTGTAACAAGAGGTTTAGAATTAAGACTGTATATGTGAAGTCTGAATTCTTTTCTCCTCATGACAAAAGATATTAAGCCAGTCAAAGAAAGAAATGCTAGCAGTTAGCAAAGCACTCGAGACACAGAAGAAGCATACAGATAAAAGAAAGTAACATGGCTCAACATGCCTTGTGAGTGAATTAAAAAACCTTTTGAGGGTAAGGTAATGTGTTTACCTGGCACAGTGTAACTCAGGCACTTCTACAGGCTTAATTACCTAAAGCACTCCAAAAATAAAATAAAGGATTTGCCCATGGATCAATGACATATTTAGAATAGGCAATAATAAAATAATCTGCATTTCAACTCGGAGAATGCAACATCAACAGACTTCAGCTTTCCTGTAATTTGACTTGCTCCCTTAGCCTTGGATGTACTGCATAAATGAGCATCACATATACAGCTCAAATTTAATGCACATCTAGATAGCATTAGCAAGTTCAGACTTTATAACCAATCTGAATTGTTTGTGATTTTTTTTTTTACATATCCTTACATTATATATCTGTAAGAGCAAGGTAAAATGTAAAAGCATTTTGCTTTATGTATATGGGAAATGTTGAGTCCTGGCCTGAACCAGTGATTGAGCACCTGGGGAAAGGATGGTCAGCTCTGGAAGCACAGGTGAAGGCAATTCAGCTGTGTGACTGGAAGGGGTGGGGCCTGGCTGCACCTCTCCTAGACCTCATTGAAGGGCTGACTGCCATTGGGAAAGGATCTCTTTTTGGATATCTCCTTGGGGGAGCTTCCCCTGTGAACCTGGAATCTTCTGATATAGGGTGAGCAATTTTCTTTCCTTCCTTTATAGCACCTTTCTATTGTGCTGATCCTTTGTCATTATACCTCTGTAAAACACTTTTTCCCCATCATATTGATCTGTCCAATTGTTACAGTATCTACCAAAAAGTGTATCCAAGTGTAAGCATTACTTTGTGATGAGTTGGTAAAAATCATTAAAAGTTTAAGATTTTGCAAGCAAAGATTAGGAAAAAATTCTAGTCATCATCTAGTACTCTAATTAGACACTGTCCAGTATTTACCACCTAGTGTTAGGACACATCTTATATACAGATAGCTTAACACTGGTATCTTACCAGGGCCAGCATCTATTGACTTGATCTGTTTGCCAGTTTCTAGATCCCAAAGGCGAATGTGGGCATCTAGGGAGCTAGATGCTGCAATGGAGCCTGTGTGGCTGATATCCACAGACACCACACCTAGCTGGTGACCCTCCAACGTCCATTGTAGATCCAATTTCTCATCATTCCTTTTGTGACAGGGAAAGAAAAAAAAGTTATGAATAGCTGAGGGGTACTTTACCAATCTCAAACCTCAGACAGAACAAACAAACAAGATAACCCATAGTTCTCCATTTTGGTCAGCCAGGGGGTAATCTGAGTGAAAAGCAAAGACAGAAGTGCACAAGTTGTCTATGGTACTCAAAAGAAAGAACAAAGAAATCAATTATTTACCATATTTATGCAAAGTAAGTACTTCACTTTACATTTCTAAGTATTCCCACAGAAATCACCATTCCACAGCAATATATGAGTACTTACACAACACACCTCATCTGCCACCATAAAATGAAACAACGACTAATATCTTTATAATATCACAACAGAGCAACTCAAGTAATTAAAGTGAAGCACATGCCTATCTTCCTCTGACTAAGGGAGAGAAAAAATTCTTTGCCAAAGTACACATCAGTACTACTTTATTAGGATTATGAGGATTTGTTCTTTTTATAAGAAAGGAAGATGACATTTTCTTTTTTATTTTCCTCCCGTTATTCATTTCACAGTAGACACATTCCTTCCTAATGCATTACCTCAAAAAGTTGCATTTCTAATTCTTTGGCTTCAAAATGCAACAAGTCCTACCACTATCTGGTAAAAGACATGGAAAATATGATGCACATTTTCAAAAGGGTTTGTGTTCTTAAAAATGTAAAGCATCCCAGAATGCTACCACTCCAAGAGAAAAAGATAAGGTCTGCTCAAGAGAAGAGCTGTGTGCTATGCTACCCCTTCCCTGATTTAATTTCTAACAACCTTGCAGACGGTGCAAATTTAAGACTGCTGTAACTCTGTACCAACTACTTCCCAGGGACAAAACTGCTCATAGCATACAATACAAAGCACTTCACTTACCACTTCCAGACTTTTACAAGATCATCCAAAGAACCAGAGATCACTGTTTCAGAACCATCTTTTTTATTCTTTCCCCAGGCAACTGACCAGATTGCATCATCATGAGCTAAAAGAGAATGAAAGCATAGAAACTAAAAGTTAAAGTACTTTCTTTTGATGTAAGACAACAACCAGTTTTTACTTCCTGCAGAGCAGATAGGCCAATGAATATCTAGATGTGACACAGTTACATGCCTGAGGCAAACACATATACAGACTGTGCCTAGAAAAGGGAGAATTGCTATGCACGTGCAGAAGCAATATTATACACACAGAAAGCTCCAAATAAACAAGCCTAATACAAGAGGAGCATCATCTCAATGCAGAACCCTTCTTTATTACCATTCTCACATAGATATCTGTATCTTAATCAATGAAATCAATTGTAATTATTACAATAAGTCAATTGTAATAAATCTGTGTTATCTAGTTTACAACAAAGCTTTCTATCTGACTGGTAGCTCTGGGAGGTCCCATCCCATTTTTCTGTTTTGTTTTTTGATTATTTTGTTTCCTTATACCCTAAATAACTTATGTATATGCCAACCTGCCATTGTTACTCATATTGCTTACTCTCCTTGTCATCTTGTTCTCTGTCTCTCTCTCTCCCAGTTATGTGATACTGCTACTTCATGGGCTGTCTCCTAATTATCATTAATTATCTTGTAAGTTGTTTAGTAGCCCTTAGGTGTACTGAAAGAGCTAAGATTATACTATCCATCTGCTGCAAGCTATCTGATGAAGACACAAGAATCATCCAGCAAAGACAAACTTTAAACGCGTTCAGAGTTAATTTTTACAGCAGCAAAAATTAGAAAGATTGGAAAATTACTAGATTGGATGCTCTACTTTGTTAAAAACAAAACAGACCCTTCCCCCCAGCAAGGAGATTAAAAGAGAAAATTGCTCTTTTTGTGTGTGTTGTTTTACCATTTTAAGACTGCTTGTCCAAACATCTGTATCCTAGTAGAAAATTTTATGGAAGGAAGTTTTATTAGGCAGAAATCATGGTGGCTTTGATCCTAAGTCTACTGCACGTGCTGCTGCAAGAACACACCACCACAGCCTCAGTGCCTTTATACCTTTCCCAGGACAGTTTCAGAATGCACGAGAGCCCAATCAGCAAAACAAGTCGCCCTGCTGCTGGTCAGGAAGAGCTGCCTGCTGTGCAGCAGCAGTAACACCCAGTTCTCATTGCCCTGAACACAACAGCTATTTTGTTTGCTGCTGAAAAACTGCTCTGATGTACACATAACACAGACACCCCGTTGATCTCAGTGGCACATCTGTTCTACGTCACCCGAGGAAGCCAGAATTAAGAAGTACAAGTTAGTGCCTTCTCACCTTGTTCTTGCTTGAAGAGAATACCATACTAGAAAGAAAAAATAATTGGCATTATGCATAAACAGCCTAAAAATCCATCCAAGTAGCGATCCGTCTGAGTAACGCTATGTTTTGATTTACCTGTGTGGTCATGTCTGCGAGGAAGCGACCTCAGCAGGAACGCTCTAGAAGGAGAACATCCGTTAGGCGCGACACGCACGGATAAAGGCCCGAGGGACCCCCCTGCCATCCCCCGCCCGCCTCACCCCGTGCGGCCCTCCCGGACCCCATCGCCGCGGCCGCACTCACCCCCTTCACGGCGCGCCGTTACAGTACCGTGCCGTGCCCACACACACACAGCTTCCGGTCGCCACAGCTGTCGCCGCCGTCGCACACTGATGAGGTCACGTACCACAGAGAGCGCGGCAAGAGCGCCCCCTCCCGCGGCCTTCTTCTACGCCTCGACCATAGAGTGCCGCCGTGCGGTGCCGCTGAGCGCGGCTCTTCGCGCCCTAACGGTCACCGCGCGCCTCCCTCACGGGGCGGCTGTGGGAGCCGAGAGGCTGAGCGCGCGGGTCTGTGCTCAGCCGCTCGCGGTGCGCTGTGTGCTTCGCAAGTTCCTCGGCTGGTCGCATTGCGACAGCCAGCGTTATGTGAGGAACCAGCCGCTGGCCTTGTAGTTGCCCTAAAGCAGTCAGCATTTCTGGGCGGCGTGGACATAACTGTAGTACCTTCAGTGCCATCCCGGCTGTTTCTGTCAGCCCCAAACCCGCCTCTCACCGCCGGCTGCTGGCTCACCTCACCTCTGCCCCGCGCCCCGGAGCTGCGGTTGTATTTATATGTCCTACCAGGATTCTCCCCAGAATTCTTCCGTTTAAATTTGTGCTTAAAATATACCACTTCCACCTCATAGGCAGGACTGGGTTCTGCCGTCTGTATACAGTACTGTTATACAGCCTTTGAGAGTTGAAGTATTGCCAGTCCACGGAGAATCTTCACACCGTGCTGAACTCTCCTGAGCACCGATATTTATTTTGCACTCAGAACATCTCAGATCTGCACAGAAAAAAAATACTGTTCTCCTGCAAGCGCAGAGTGAGCTCGTGGGTTATTTCCTACATCACTTATGTCACAAATCTGTATTTGTTAGAGTGAAATCTGATTAGATGCTGCTTTGGTGCATCAAGAGGATGATCTGAAGCAGTGTTCCACGTGTTTGATTGTAGATAAACTGCCTGCTTGGAATGGTTGCTGAGAGCATGTCTATTTGCCCCTGTTCTGTTAGTGCTCCAACTAAAGTGCTTTGTGTCTGTATGGATACTTCAACCCTCATCAGAACAACACTTTATGAGCATATGCTGGTTTCATAGAACAGTGTTACAAAGGAAGACTGGAAGTATTTAAGAGCAGCACGATCACCCTGTTACTGTGAACGGTTAGAAGTGATTTAGGTTAAAACTGTTTTTCTTTGAGATGTCACACACAAATTGCAAAAGGAAGTTCCCAGCCTAAAGCACAGTTGAAGAGGACAAACAGAACAGCTAGTTTCAAAAATAATAGGCTGAGTGCTGTCATGGCCAGCTCATAACTCAGACCAGGATTCACCATTCAACATTTGCCCAGCCTTTCTTTCTCAAAAGCCAAATTTATCAAGATCTCAAGGTCACCCAAACCTTCCTACAGGATAAAGGTAATTAACTATGAGTTTCTGCTCTGCACTTAGATGAGTACTACAACATTCAAATGTTGTCAGCCACATTAGCTCCTCTCCCTCGTCCATAGTAAATAATCCATTAAGTAGTGGGGATGAGAAAAGTGATAGAGGTACTTGAAGTTATCTGCAGTAGGTAGTGGGAAAGTATAAGACAAGACTTGAGGACGGAACAATGTGGTCATTTTGGAAATGACCGTGTAACACCACTGGCACCATAGGGTTGGATTGGATGACAGGTGCCTTTCAGGGCTGATCCATGGATTTCAGGATGATTTTCCACAGTAGGGTTCTGTGTAGGGTTAGCCTGCAGGCACTGTGGAGACAAAGGGCTGCCTCACGCAGACCTCGGGGTCAGCATGTAGATTTACATCGTCTGCCCGTTGTGGGGCAGCAGCATCAAGATAATCACCGCTCCTTGTGGTAGCAAAGGGTTGGCACTCACAGTGTCACGTTAATCAGCTGAACACTTCTGTGTTAGGGACTCTGAGCAGTTGTGGCAGAATTCCTCTGCTTACATTGCCCAACGTGCCCCTAGGAAACTGCTGAAAGATTGTTTTCCTGGGAGTGAACTGGAATTATATTTGCAGTTTGCTCATGCATTTCAAGTAATTGTCCCCTTCATCAAGTTCCACAAAGACAGTTACACATAGAATGTACACTTTTTCCTTGAAAGACTGTTATATGGGAACTATTGAGTCCTGGCCTGAACCACTGATTGAGCACCTGGGGAAAGGACCCGGTCGGCCCTGGAAGCAAAGGTGAAGGCAGTGCAGCTGTGTGACCAGAAGGAGTAGAGCCTGGCTGCACGTCTCTTAGACCTCATTGAAGGGCTGACTGGTACTGGGGAAGAGTCTTTTCCTGGAGATCCCTCCTTGGTGGAGCTTTCCCCTGTGAATCTGGAATCTTCTGATATGGGTGCGTAATCTTCTTCCTTTATAGCACGTTTCTGTTGTGCTGGTCCTTGTGTCATCACACGTTTGTTGTAACACCTTTCCCACTGTTTGATCTAATTGCTACAGACCATGTATTAGCATGTATAATTCACCTATCAGCACTGTAGCATGTTACTGTTATGACAGTAGAGAGAAAAGCAAGAGCCACAGAAAATAAGATCTTAATTGCAATCTACAGTTCTGCTTTTGAAATGAGTCCATCTGTGTACCTACACGTTGACACTGCTTTAAGCTTGCACTTAAATACTGAATTGCTTCTCTAGCAAGGAAGGAAACATTTCTATATATTTATCCAACAAGCAGTGAGTTCTTTAGACAGACAAAAGAGAAAAAGAAAATCAAAGCTGTCATAGACTGAGCCAAACAGGAATGAAAATAATGCTTAGCAGGTACAAATCTCTCTGACTGGCACTCTGCTGTTCTTCCCCAAATTATCTGTGTAGGATAATGGCAAGAGGACAGCTTGACCTGGAAAGCACTTTCCTTTAAAATGAATGAGGTGAGCAGTGAGATTGGAGTGACTAAACAGCTTCTTCTGGGAAGAGGAAAGTAAAACAGTTAATTAAGCCAATAAATCCTAAAAACTAGACTTCCTCCTCAGAAGCAACCTTATCCCTGCCACTGCCTGCAGAGCAGCCAGAATGTTTAGATGTAATTACAGGCCTTTCAGTCTCTAGGTTATAGCATTTATAGGTCAAGAGAAGCCTTTCAGAGCACGGCTATTTTGAAAGGAATGATTTAAAAAAGAATGCTTTTCATTGTAGACTTTCCAAGAGTTGATCTGTGCTTGGTGACAACTGACCCCAGCCATTGCTCTCACTTTGTCTTCTCTTTCTCCTTGTTGGGAAACTTCAGTCCTTCCTTCAAGTACTTGCATTTAATCAGGATTACTATATTTTATTCTTGATTTTGTTCTCTCTTGTAGCTTTTCTGTTGTTTTTGTTGTTTTTTTTGTTTGGGGAGAGGTGGGTCAGAGAGAGTTTCTTAGACATCTACATGAGCCTGAAATGTTGAATGAGTATATAAAAATCAAGTATGATAAAAGAAACATCTGGTGTTCGTTTGTCAGGAGTGAACTGAGAGACAGGGAGAAGAGGATTTTCCTCACCTGCTGTGGAACATCCTCAATTCCATGAATTTGTTCTCTGCTTGACCAAGTTTTTCACAGTTGGTTACAGATAAAGACATGATGGTTCCAGTCTTAGGGTATTTGCTTGTAAAATGTTACTAATTTTATACTCCTTATGGATTCTCTTTATAAAGTAACAGTCCAGGTAGCTGCTTGAATTGGTTTGAAGCCTACTGTTTATTGGAGAGAGGAGCTGAAAACTAACCTGGCACTGTAACTTCTCTGTAGCTCTAACAATCTTTCTGATATGAAAAAAAAACTTTCACAGCATCAAATGTGCAGAATGCAACTCTGACTGTTGAGAATAATTAGTAAGAAAACTCAAATCAGTACCCTTCATCTATTGGCAGCAACTTTGGAAAGCAGGTTTGAAGTAATTAGCTTAGATACTTTCAGAATATTTTCAGAAGCCGGACTTAGTGTTCATTCCTATGTTTTTGTGTCACTGTCTAGAATGTATTTACATAAATGGACACTTGGATCTCCACATGCCTGGTATCCATTGGCATGGTTTACTAGCAGCCAGGCTACATGGACCCTCACTTGGCTCAACCAGCCAATTACTTTACCACTTATCATCATGTCACTGTCTCTCTTTGTTACTGCAGCCTTCAATGACACTTCTGTCTTCATCAACACTGTTCCATTCATGCTGTTTGCTTTGATGACTTTGCTGGGCAACCTCTTTTGTGTCCGAGCCTCCTTGAGAGAAAGCCTTATTTTTCCTCAGTTTGTTTGTCTGGCTACCAGACCCTTGTGAGTCAAACTGATTGTATTAATCCTACATAGCGGAGCTACACTGGAGGATAAATGCCAGTGCTCTGCATGCCCTGGCTCCTGTGGAAGTCTAAGAATGTGGAAGAACTAAGCATGGCACACCATCAAACATTACATTCAGCTACCGCTGGACAGGGTGCTTCAATGAGATAATGTACATTCATTACATCTTTTTGTTGTTTGCATGCTGTGAAAGCCCGTTTTACAGTGGTGCTTCATCATATTATTTCTGTGCAGTGAGAGCAGGTTTTCTTGGCTTACAGATTTTACTAGGTCCTGAGCACAAGTTCAAGTGCTCTATGCACTCCATTCTGTAAATACCTCATAGTATGCTGTGTGCTTTCCTCTAGTGTGAGCTCCCATCATGACTACTTTGTTCACACCTGACATTGTACCACCCATAGGTGCTTCATATAATGGAAAAAAAAAATTCCAGAATTCCAATGTGATGACCTGCTTATGTTTAGTGATTTGTTAGTGAGAGAAGCAGAAGCATGGCATGGAGAAATCATAGATGTTATATATGAACTGATCACTGTGTAGGTCCCACATGATGTATCCCTTGTATAGTGTTAGCCCCATTGAATCTGCTAGCTCAAGAGCAGGCTTAGAGGTGCTAAGGGTGAAGAGTCCCTAGATGTGGTCATTGCAGCATGTTTGGCAAGTGTTAGCCAGGTGGTCTTTGCTTCTCTCAGGAGTTTGTACCTTCTGCATTTATTTGAAAGGGAGTTATGAGTCTGCTGCTGTACTGAGCTGTGTTTGGTTTGTGACCCAGCTAGCTACAGCTCTCAATGTTTCTTAATGGAGGGATGTACAGCATTTCTGTAACAACGCCTCAGCCAGGAAAATGTTTGCCAACTGACCTGAACTTCTGCAGTCAGGAACAAAGAAGGTGATCTTTTAGGCCCTTGCAATACAAATTTAGCCAAGT